ACGCCAAAGAAATCACTGCGCACATACGACTAAAGAATTATATTGACCGTGGAAAGCTTTCGGCAGGACTGGGGTATATAATTTCGTTGCGAARATTCTGGAGAAATGGGATSCCCATTAAAGTCCATAATGTACTAGTTCCTAGACTACATAAGAAATTGAATGGAATACTACCTGATGCTGTATTGGGCTATGCCGCATCTCTATGGTTTACTAAAAAGGTATGAAGACAAAAAGTGTGCTATTATCTAATAGTCACTAGATAATTGTTAGGGTTAGGGTTAATTATTTATTTAGAAACTATATTTTGTTTCATGAACATACTGCATTAGCACTCTAATTGTATCATATTAGCAATAATAATGATGGTGATGCTTGATGACTTCTATTCTTATTTGCATATTAAGATCTGCCAAGAACTGGGTGTGGACTACAACATCGTCAAAGCTTATTTTGATGATAATTCCAATTTTTTTGTTCGCAATCAAAGTCATGCACTCGAGGACATGCAGATCAGTATGGACATGCCTGGGGCCTCCAGTGAAACCTCTGTCGGTATGTTGTTTAGAGCGGACGTCATGGAAATTATCAACAAGGCTAGTGACGACGAGGTTAGTAGGTCAGTGACATGAAGGCACGTTGACTGAGATGACGATCATATTTTTTGTGTGTTTAATCRGGTCAAGCGACTGTTCAGACTTGGAAAAACCCAAGGAAAAACCAGTCTTATAATAAGACCGGCTTTCTTCGAAAAAKGAAAGTACACCGCCAAAGAAATTAATTGCCACCTTAAGAAATACGGCGTTGGTAAAAGCCAATGCAGAAAAGAAGAAGGAAGGAACGTCAGAGTGACATACGTGCACATGACGTTTTYTGAAACAGCCGAAGCAACTGCTGTTCAAAACCGTAAGTCAATACATCACTCTCCACCGGTGAAACTACTCAACCCAAACCAAGAAGAGAAAACTTTTCACAAAATACTTAATCATAGGGGGTTGGTATGCATGGCAAAYAAGAAAAACTGAGTTAGCAATACTAGGGTGAAATTTGGAACGGGATAATGATGATAAATGTCCATGACACCTCACTATACTATAATTTTCAAAACTGTGTACCTATTGTACAACCATCTTTTTTTCAAGGAATTCTGCAAAAAACGTCAGAGAAAGTAATCGACGACGCAGACGCCATTACCGATGACAGTGAGTACTTTTTTACGATAAAGTTAAATCTTACGATAAAAAACGCATGCTAGTGATCTGAAGCGCGGGAAATTATTATTTGCAGTACTGTTCTTAACCGTTATTAACAACATGTCTTTTGTGCAGACACTGAAAATGAC